GTTATTGGGCTGGGGCATTAATTCTAGACATATTCAGTAAATGCATATAGAATCTTCCCTTCCTTCCTCCTTCCTTTTTTATTTTTATTTATTTTTGTATGTGTGTGAAATGAAACATACCATAGATTCATTATATGTCCTATTCAAATTGAGAATCATGGGGTTTTTATGTATTCTACTCTAAGTTGTATCTGTATTCCTTTTCCTCTATACTCTGAATCCTGAATCCTCAATGGCACAAGAAATAGAATTAGAATATTATTATAATTCTTCATTTCCTCCATCTCATAATATCCACCCAACAATCTAAGACTAATGGTACCAATGTTACCAACAACAAACTGTTGCAAGGTTCGTTTGTTTCATGCTTTTTTTTTTCCATCTTCCCTTGGTGGTACAAATTACTAATATTTATAGTTACCTGAAATAGTTACTCTTGGATGACTGAGCAACCAACTGGACATATAATTTATGTTTACTTATGTCAAATGATTTTTAAGAATTACTATTAAACTATTAATAGTATTAAAATTTGATTATTAACTATATAAAATATAACATGCTTTGAATGCAAACTATACAAAACAAGAGGTTTTAAGTCAGCCTTGCTTCTATTCCATTTCGTTCATCTTATTCTCTCCATTCCCTGCAGGTACCTATTCTTTATGGTTATCCTTTTTTTACTTTATTTCTTCAACCTAAGAAGATTTTTATATAGTCTTTCACTATGTGGTCTATTTTATTTACTTTTTCATTTTTTAAAGCACATTTTTTGGAATTAAAAAAACTTACTTTAGTGTTAATATTTATATTTGCACTGTTTGTGTAATACTGCCCATAATTCCCTCTATTGATTACCTTCTATGAGGAATATCATTATTAGCTAGTCATCACTTTTTGTCCTTCAGTTTAAGGGTATTATTCAGAACACTGTTCAATATACTAGGCTCAAGAAAATTTTTATCAAGTGTTAGTTTTAATTTCTCTTAGATAACTGCTATTTTGACCATAAAGACAATGATTCATTAATTCAGGGTTTCTCTACCTCAGCACTATTGACATTTTGGGCAGGAGAGTTGATGTGAGGAACTGTCCTATGCCTTGTAGGATGTTTGGCAACATCCTTGGCCTTAATCAGATGCTCATAGTATACCCCATCTTTACCAGTTGTGACAACCAAAAATATCTCCATATATTTTCAATTATCCCTTGTGGGAAAATATCACTCATACCTGAGAACCACTAATTTAACTAACTCAAGGTTCTTGTTTATATGTATTACAAGGACAAACTAGTGTCAACTTATAAAAAAGCATAAAAAGACCTGAATATGAGAATTCTGTGTATTAAATCCACCTAAGCTTTATCTTAATTCGCAAACTTAATGTTCCCTGTTTTACTCAGAAAAAAAAAAAAATTGTATACATCAATTCTTCATGCAAAGAAGTAGAGGAATGAATTCATTCATAGCAAAACTTGGAAAACATATAGAGTTATCACTTTCTTTCTCTAAGTTTAAGTATTAGGAGTTTATTTATCTGAAACCTTATATTAACCATGCACTTAATTAGATTTGATTATTCCCCAATTCCACAAATTTCTATATATCATTAGATTCTTTATTTCCATATTTGTAAATCAGGAAGACTACTAAACATAAATTCCTTGTTGACAAGGATGAGGCCTTATTAACTCAACTCTGGACTCATCACCTATCACAATGCCTGGCCCATCATAGTCCAACTCTTGTACTATGTTTGAGTGAGTGGTATTAATACAGTATGACCAATCATCTTAACAGACAGGGGATTCGTATATAATGGGTAACTTTTACATAGTCACTAAACCTTGTGTTTAGTAGATGCTTACCAAACACTTGCCCAGGGGCTGCCCAAACCATAAAATCTAAATAAACTTAGCATATAAAATTCAGAACTGAAAAGTAATATTTACATATTCTCCCACTGATGGCTATAAGACATTTCAAATGGTTCAAATAAAAGTTCCTTTTCTCAATAAAGACAAGGTAAAAGAGATATTTTGTGTTGAAAAGAGCATTTAAATTTTAACACAACAGGACCAGCCAAATGTGGGTGGTGGTGGTTAAGAAATGTTGCTGAGTGAAGAACAGTCAAAAGACAAAACTTGATGGAAAGTATGCCATTCAAATTCTTCTTAACATAAAGACAGCATTTACCTTTCCTCCAACACTTTTTTAAGGAGCAGCTCCATTAAAGGCATATCCGGCTTTATAAAACACATGAATAAAAAACTACAACAACAACATAAGAAAAAGCTCTATATTTAATTATGTATATTAGGGTGCAATTATTCACATAAAGACACTATTTTCCAAATATCAGGCACCTGAATACCTATAGTATTATTTAATTAAAAATTTACTTTAAAGTTTACTTATTTTGAGAGAGAGACAGTGTGTGTGTGCATGAGCAAGGGAGGAGCAAAGAGAGAGGGAGACAGAATCCCAAGCAGGCTCAGCACTGACAGCCTTAAAACTTACTTTAAATCACATTTGGGCAATCTACTTTTTATAAATGGATTTAGGGGCACCTGGGTGGCTCAATCGGTTAAGTGTCTGACTGTTGATTTCTGCTCAGGTCATGATCTCATGGTTCGTGAGATCGAGGCCCATGTAGGGCTCTGCACTGACAGCGTGGAGCCTGCTTGGGATTTGCTCTCTGCCCCTCCCTCCCTCACTCGCAGTCTCTCTCTCTCTAAATAAATAAATAAACATTAAAAAATATAACAAGTGAGTTTATTCCAAGCAATCACTAAAAACACGGACTTAACAAGCTGCTATACAACAGAAAAAGTAACTAGTGTACCACTTACATATTGCCTTGCATACCATGCCATGCATGGCACATACCTCACATTTTGAGGAATGTTGCCTGAAGTAAATCCAACAAGGTTTTTAAAATAGCATATTCATGTAGTAATCAAACGTTACTTCCACAAAATTAGTTTAAAAATATGTTTATACATGCATACAAACCTAAATTTTATAAGAATAAACCATATAGGGGCGCCTGGGTGGCGCAGTCGGTTAAGTGTCCGACTTCAGCCAGGTCACGATCTCGCGGTCCGTGAGTTCGAGCCCCGCGTCAGGCTCTGGGCTGATGGCTCAGAGCCTGGAGCCTGTTTCCGATTCTGTGTCTCCCTCTCTCTCTGCCCCTCCCCCGTTCATGCTCTGTCTCTCTCTGTCCCAAAAATAAATAAACGTTGAAAAAAAATT